GTTAGGCTTTAGGGTTTAGGATTAGGTCTTACAGTTTAGGATCTAGGATTAGGGTTGAGGGTTTTGGTTTTAGGGCTGAAGTCTTACAGGTTTAGGTCTACTTTAAAAGGGGGACAATAAGGGCTCCTTTAAGGGATCCTATAAGGGCTCTACGTGGCTTGAGTTAGATAAGGGCTAAGACTTCAGAGTAAAAGGGTTTCGAAGCTTTGCAGGAGTGGATCTTGTGGGGGGATGCCACCGCCAACCAAACCGTGCCTTCACTCTGCTATGACTTCTGCTGCACTTCTCTTCAAAAAGCGCTTCTCCCTGCGCAAAAGCGGAACTGGAACAGCTTTCTCGCTTGGTCTCGTCTTGCAGAAGACTTGGGACGACAAGCCCTGCTTAATCTGACTCTTTGAACATCTAGATTGACATGACCTGTACAGGGGACTCCTATGCATGTACTACAGGGGATATATAGAATCGGGTTTTGGGTTATGTGGTACGAGTGTACTGAACACATTTTGGGAAACCTACTCAACCGTTACGGCTCCTATGTTAAACCTGTATAAGTAGCATGAGACCCTGGCTTAACCTCAATACCCCGAGCCTTTGGAAGCGAGAGGCACTGCATTCGGATGCTGAGTGCTCCACGCATTGCTCGCGCTGGTATTGGCATGTGTCGCCCTGACTGGAAGAAAGATGAAATGAAGCTTAGGTTGCAAAAACGGAACTTGCATGGGCCGGGGCATGCACAGACACCACAATCTGCAGCACTTGCATGTAGCTCCACACGAAGTTCATAAGTCCCGATGCAAGCCAAGTGCCAAGGCAGTCACGATCACCAAAGTTCATCCTCAAGACAAGTACACAGGAAATCCGACATCAACATCGACCGTGCTACCTCCTGGGCTCAACCCGGATGCCTCTGCGAAATCGAAGCTTGACCTTTACACGCACAATCCGAAAAATCTGCGTGAGAATTCCGACTCAGCCGGGCCTTGAGAATCCCGACATGGGAGTTTCCGAAAATAAGGGGTACCTTGTTTTGGGGTCCTGAGAATAAGGATCCCACTATTTAGGGTACTATGGTAGGGTCCCCTATTTTCCTCAACTCCGAGTTCCCGCTCTTCACACACAGATTTCAGGGCGTTGAAGGGTTTTGGGCCAACGGGTGTTGGGTTTAGGGTTTAGGGTTTAGGGTTTGGGGTTTAGGGTTTAGGGTTTGGGGTTTAGGGAAGTTTATGGGGCTCAGGGTAACTCCGACGGAACAATCCAACCTCTGTGCACCGCCGTGGCAGGCTTTGAAGGCAATGGCTGGGTGAGAACGCTGCCTTTGTGGGAGCTTCTGGTACGGTTCAGAGATTGGGGTTTTGGATGTAGATCCTAAACCCTAAACCCTAAACTGTAAACCCTAAACCCTAAACCAGTGGTTGACTTTGGGTATTGGGGCCCAAGGTTTTAGACAGGGCTTTCCTTGCTAGCCGGTAGGCTCGCGATACTGAGACCCAAAACTGACAGTCACCAATGTAGGCCATTCTGCCTTCCAAATCCCGAAAATACTGCGTAGCATTCGGATTCATAGCTCCAGGAAGAAGCTTCCGAATCAGTCTATTATATGGTTAT